TCTTCAATTAAATAATTATAATCCAGTAAGTCAAGCACAAGTCGTATATAATTGTGAATTGAGCAGCCTTTCAAAAAACCTGACTGTGTCTCTGAAATAATCTGTGAAACTCCTGTTTTTAATCTGTTAGCATAAATATGAGTTAAAATCTTATAATCATTATAAAGCAGGGGCCTAAGATTGTCTATTAATTTAGGATTTTTTTCCAGGTTTAGGGATATGAGTGATAACCCCTTGCTTCATTGTAGTTGGAAGAATATGGGATTCAGATATTTCTTTCAACATATGAAGAACAAGGTCTTTAATATATTTCCAAAAATGCCTATAGAAGTTCCTCGTTAATCCATGTGAACCAGGCGATTTGTCTAATGATACACAATTCACTGCTTTTTCCACTTCCTCCATACTAATATCTTCATCACAAACATTTGTAAAACTCTCATCTACTGTTGGAATTCAATCCTTAATATGATCAAAGAAAGCATCAGCATCTGTATGTGAATAAGAGGAGGAGTATAAATTACTGTAGAAACAATAAATTTCCTTAGAAATTTTTTCAGGATCTGTACATTCTTGATCATTAATCAGAAACCCATTCAAGGCGTCAAAAACCGACGCCAGTGTGTAGGTGAGGTACATTGAATCGCTGACACTAGAGAATAGTTTAGTCAAGCCTTTAATGGCGACGGCCAACAATAACGAGCACACTCGCCAGCTCCGCCCAGGCCAACGGGATCACGAACAACGTCAGGAGTAACGTCACGATCCACGTCACACTTCACATACTGGCGCCACCCATTTTCCCTCCAGAACATACCCCCCCCGCTCTTCTCTGGCACCTGTGGGCATTTGAAACAAACAAAAAAAGGGGAAAAACAAAAGAGTGACATGTGACAACAAAAGATGAGTCAACGGAACCATCTGTCTAGTGAGAACAGCACCGCAGATCCTTATGGAGCCTTGCAGAACACCAATGCAAAGCTTCAACAAAACTTTCTCAAAGCAAAGCAAGGATACGGGTGAAGGCAGCCCATCTAGTGCAGCTCATAATCCTTTAACTTTAACTCGGGAAGTCGACGGAGACGGCCTGACCGCCGAGGAGCCTGCACCGGAACAGCTGAGAGGGAGGCTAACTCGTGGCACGGGACCTCCACCGAACCTGATGGGGACATGGTCCTACCCTCCGGACATTCGCTGTCATCAGACCCAGGGGGTGAAGCGGGTGTCGCTATCGCCAGGGGAATGTCAGAGTCGCTCGGAGTTGCAACAAGTGGCACATCACACTCCTCTTCGCTCTCAGATGCTGCACCGTCACCACAATGACCTGTGACACTTGGGAAAGAGTCAACTTTATAACAATCTGTTAAGCGAACCCTATAAGAAGTACGCCGCAACTGGGAACCCGTAAATTTACGGACGTTGCACCACGTCCCATCTGAACTAAGCACAAGATATCTGTTTCGAGCTCGTGACTTGTTACGGTCGCTATACAAATACACAAGGTCGCCAGGGCAAATATCAAGGCTCTGTGGCTTTATAGGTAATATTTTCACGTACACAATTTAGCAAAATCAGAAAATATTGTGTCTAATATATACCACAATATTAATTTCTTATTATTGAATTGTTGTAAATAAATATCACATTTACAGCTGGTCAGTGTTCAAAAAATGCTGGGAAATCATTCCATGTAGCCCTACAAGAGTGATTACTGATAAACTGTCTGAAAAAAAGAAAGTCAAGTTTTAGAGAAGAAAAAAATCACCCACTGACTTTCAAAGCTGCTATATAATAACGACTTTCTACTTCGAGGACCTTGATAGAAATGTAGTGGAGTGAAAAGTACAATATTTGTCTTTCAAATGTAGTAAAGTTAAAGTAATAAGTTCCCAGAAAAAA